GCGCACTGGGATTGGGCGGGGTCCAGGCTGCGCCGTGCCACCGGTTGCCTGGGGGGTCCGTGTGCCCCACCAGGTGTAAGGTTCGCTGACCCATCAGGTGTGGTGGTCGCTGGCGCTGCGGGCTGTGCTGTGTCTGATGGACTGCGCAGTTTTATGCTGGAATTCACCCTGCTTTGATCTCAGGTCGGGTACTCCAATTGCTGTAGAGGGACCCTGTTGTACACTTTCGGGGTGCCGGATTTTGCACCCCACTTCCCATTTCTCTGGATTTAAAGGATCATCAGGTTCTGGTGGATTTACCTCCCGCATTTCTTGTATTGGGTTAGGAATTTCGTCATATGTAGGGTTAAATTTCAAAAGACTCTGTCCTTGCTTTGGAGATAACAAAGGAGGAGTAGCAGCCGCTTCTAAGATAGTTTCTGCGGGGTTTAGAGCATTTAAAGCTGTATGCACTGATTTCCAAGTAAAGATTTCCTCAGAGATTTTAAACTGCAAGACTTTGTTCTTTCAAAATTCTCTGTAAAATCTTTCAATTGAGCTTTCGTTCCTTTCAGCTGATCATGCTTTTGATAGCTCGAAAAACAGGGGCTAATTGTTGCTCCTCTTTATTGCCGACCTGCGCAGTCCCCGATTCTCTGCCACACATCCAAGTCGAACAACCGATCTGTCATTGCTATCAGCTTTCGTCGGCGGTACCACAATAATAGACCCGATATCTCTCCTTCAGTTAACTTCACGTTGGCTCGATCCGCCAATTCCGGCAGGCTTTTCTGCACCGTCTTTTCCAACACTGACACAGTGGAACCCATACTGCCGATGTTCACGCCCCCCCGGTGTGCTGCGCATCCGCTCCCGCCTCTCTCGGGCGGCCTGGCTTACCTCACTGGCCGGCAGTCCCCTGCCTTCTTTGGCTGCGGTATCACGTCGGGGTCACCACAACGCCGAGTTTCAGCATCCGTGCAGGGACAGGAACAACTCTCACACATTGATGCAATGCACAGCTGATTCCGATTTATTGGTCTGCTTGCGTGGTTATATACATTTTCCATATCTGCACACGCGATCACGCTTATTCGGATAGGCTACAGACATAAATCACGCGCTGTTCACGCACCCCACATTCCCTTACGATTGGTAACTATGCACTAACGCTAACAGCAACAGGCTGCCTGCACGTCCTTGAACACATCTTGTTTTTGCTAACCCACACCATGTTTATTCTTAGCTGTCCTTTCCAGCGGCCTGTGCAGCTATGCTAACTGTTTCGCTTAAGCGGCCTCGTCATGCTAAATCTCAAGCTACATTGACCCCAACAAATTTGAAACAAGGAAATAGAGCAAGTAAATGCTATCCAGATTTTTGCCTAGAGCTTTTTCTTTTGTTACTTCTGTTTTCAACTGCATATTCTTTATGTCACATCGTTTTCCAGCCCATCTTACTCTACAGATTTTTTTCAAAGGGTCACAATACAATTTGCTTTTTTATAGGTCCATTCAAGAAGATAACATCGTGAAGATATATGACATCTTTTCAGATCCCTGTAGGAATGGGCATTTAAGTAAGACTGCGATTAAAGTAAACCCATTTTTTAATTACATTTGTTCTTTTTTTTTTGAACTTACTGGCTTTTCAACAAACAGTAAACAAAACAGTTGAACAGTGCGTTCCTTTCTCCCATAAGCAGTAAGAGATGGACATCTGCCCGGAGAAAAGCTGGGCCAGAGCAAGACATCACAGCCCCTTTAGTGTTTGCAATTAATTACCCTGCTGACAGCAGTTGCCTGTGTTGGCAGGGTTTGTGAGAGCACTCCCTACTCCGCGCATGCAACATTAGCTGTGTTTGCCTAAGTGATTTCAGTAGATGTCTGGAGTTAGCGTGGACCAGAGCGTGCCGGGGAGCGTTCACGTGAGCCATGCTGCTGCCGGGGCTGTTGCGGGAGGTGTTTTCAGCCAGCTGCAATACACGCAGCCGAGAGCAGGAGCATTTCATCCACTGCAGCTCAGTCCACCACCCTCCTTGAATTCCGGGCTTGCACCAGCCACTGCATCCTCGCCATGTGTACCAGCCCAGAGGAAACCATGCAGAGAACAGTGAGGGGTCCAAGCGCTTCCTCAGTCACAGGATGAGTCACCACTGCACACTCACTTCTGAGGCACAGGGTGCTACGGCAGAGGTATTCTGGGGACTGAGTTTTCTTCTGTCTCTCTAGTTGAGGCTCATATGCTTTGTGTAAATGAGTATTCACTGTGCCGGTGCTTGGTAAGAGCCAGTGGGTATTGCTGAGTGCAACAGCTTTAGAAGAGAGATGGACCTATTTCACAAGAGGTGGGAGAGGGCCTGGCCCTGGGTTCCCCTCACAACCCTAGCCCTGGATTCACAGAGTTTAAGAAGCTAAACATCAGAAGGGGTGAAGGCAGGCGAGGGGCATGAGTTTGACAGTTCCAGCAAAACTTCCTTAGGAGTAAGCTAGAGCTCTGCATAAACCCTCAATGCCAGAAATACAGGAACCTGCATAGAACTGTGGCAGCTCTGCTAGGTATTGAAAGGTTCTTGGTGGGGCAAGACCCTGAGCAACCAAATGTGACTTCAAAACTCTCCATGTTCTGAGCAGGGGGCCTCAACCAGATGGCTACTAGGGTCCCCTTCCAGCCTAAATCACTCTGTGCCTCTGTGACTCTTGCTATATCTAGGTGTTAGTTCAGACACTGTGTGGACATGGGTTTATCCTAGACAGCATATTCCAATTCTGCTTGCTTGGGTTTGTGTAGTTGTAGTGGTGAGTGCTGTAACAGTCATGACTGGTAGCAGTCACAAGGAATCTAGATAGATATATTTTTGTGTAATTGAAGCAAATTAAGAGAATTACCTAAGACTTCAGTTGTAATGCTCAGTGGCTTATAAAACTGCACAAGCTGCTGTTACTTTTTGCCATAGGCACAGATATTTCTTTTGGGACAATTTCAGCAACTAAGATAGTTATTTGGGGTGGGCTGTGGGGTGTTGTGTTAATGAGCTAAATCCTCTTCCTTCATTCCCCTTATCCCTTACAAGAATTTGCTGTAATCTCAGTTGTCTCCATATATAAGCCTAATGTGCAAAAATGTCTGATCACAGTTTTCCAGTAGCAGAAACGACTTGTCCTGGCTGTTACAGATGGGAAGTTCATGCCGTGTGACTCAGAAGGGAGAAGTTCATACAGATTTTGTTTTAATTTTCTTGTATTTCATCTTGGCTTTCCTTTGACTTCTCTCTGCACTCAGTAATCTACCGGTTGAGTCTACAAGTAGTTCAGAGCCTGAAATTACTGTCAACACAGTGGCTTCACTAGCTAGACTGCAGTGGTGCTGGAGGGCACTAACCATGATTCCTTGAGATGTTCTTTTACCTAAGAAGTGAAATTGTCCTGGAGAATGCCTGCCCCCTGTCTAAGGGCTACTTCTCCAGGAAAGTTAAATGAAGACTGAACAGTTTTCATTCCAGAATCTGGTAGCATTTTCTGTGGGATAATGACAGAAGATTGGCAAGAAGGCTTGTAAACATGCTCAAGTAACTTGCAGCTGGGGTGTAAAAAACCACATACATCATTGTTTAGTCTTGTGTGCTTGACAAATGGAATATCTGTGTTTAGATAATGTAGGCCTGTGATAGGCTCAAAGGCACCGTATAGAACAGGCTCGAGATTCCTGCCCTGCTGTGGGAAGGTTCAAAGCACAGTGGATAATTAGACCTGTGTGAATCCCTGTATAGGCAGAAGTGGCAGGTTCGGCAGCTCACAGTCTCCTTATAGCAAGGACCGAGCTCCATGGTGCCTGCCTTCCTGCTTTGCTTGTGTGCCTCTGGTGGGGTGCTGCGTCGGAGACCCTCCTGGTTTGCGAGGTAACGAAAAATCTGCACTCGGAGTTTCATCCCTAGTTTTGTGGTTGTTCCTGCCTGCTGCCTGTCTCACATGCTTCGTTCAAGGGAGGTTTGGGGCCAGATTTGTTAGTTACTGTAGATAGATGGTGCAGTTCTGTTGAAGACTGTATACTAAGATTGACAGGTGATACCTTCTGGAAAAAAAGAGTTGCTAGGTTTTAAATCATATTTTTAATATTTTAACAGTTTGTTATTAAACAAAAAGGTTTTAGTGGACATATCCACGCAGATGTGCCGTGAGAGAGTTCTCTTATATTTTGATCTGTAATGTGAGAGGTACATGAACAAAGACTTTCCTGTGTGGACTCCAGCTGCAAGGATTTTATTTCTTCAGTGCAGAAGCTATTCTTTGACAACTGTTTGTTTGTGAATGACAGGCTACTAACATTTCTTTGATTAAAAAATAAAATAAAAACGGCATGCTACTGCCAGGTATCTTAACTTATCCAAGGGCAGATGAAGAGCGTTTGCTGTCTGCTAATAAAAGGAAACTGCAAATCCAAATTGTGCCATTAGCTGTTGGCTTTGTGGCTGGGAGATGAGATCTGAAACTACAGGAAGTAAGAAGTTGGCAGCTGTACATTGGTGGATGAGTGTCTGCTATTACACTGTTGATGCCGAGTCAGAAATCGAGGCTGTGAATGTTAGTTGGCTCACTAGGAAGTGGGTAAGCGTTGTGGCTTAGCTGATTAAGATGGTGCAACATTAAAAAGTGTCAGATGGACAGGTTAGTTACAGAGACAGATCTGTGTTTAATCATCTAGCCATTACTGTTTCTGAAATGGTAATTCAGCTTCTTTCGTAAAATTTTCAATAATTAGTAAGTATAACTTTTGATTAGTGTTCTTTTCAGCCTGCAACATACTGAGTTTATTGTTTCCAAGAAGCCACAGCAACCATTTTATGCTAAACAATTTAAGGAGTTTTATCCTAAATTCGTAAGAACACCTTCACCATTTTAATCAACGTAAGTTACCCAGAACTAAGGGTATAGTTCAAATGCAGGTATTGATGCAAACAGGTAATAGTACCTTGAGTTTGTTGAAATTAATTCTGTATCTGTTGCTTCTACTTATTTCAACAGGTGACTGAGCTAGAGTGTGTGAGCAGTCAAGCCAATGCAGTCCACACACATAAAACAGAATTAAACCAGACAATACAGGAGTTAGAGTCTACGCTGAAGAAAAAAGAAGAGGTATTTGCTAACGTCTATTCTTGGCTTTTCTGTTACGTCATTTCTAAAGGCTTTCACTGTCAAGCTTGTGATGGCTGGTAAAAGCTGTTACATTTCCCATAAATGTTACAAAGTAAAATTATTTTCAGCTTCTTTGAAATGGTTAATGTTTTTCCGTGTATATAATTACATCAGCCCAATATAGAGCAGGGTATCTGAACAACAAAAAACAAAGTATCATGTTTTCCTCTTTGCTTTTACCAAGCATCTGTGCTTGCAAAAGTAAGTCATAAGTGGTTTCCACAGAGCAGTCATCACACTCATGCAGTCCACATTAACTAGCAAGGGAAGCTGTTGTAAGCATTTTTTTCCTTTTTCTGGAGAGTAAGGTTTGGAACAAGTAATATACATCAATACCTTTTTCAGGCCAATCTTGTTTTTCAGGCTATGTTAATATAGCTGAGTTTTATGATCTCTAAGATCAGCCCTCTCCTTAAACACATGCCAAATTCCCCAGCCTGAAACTTGGTGATATTTAGTGTGCCATCTGCTTTGGGCTGGACCAGCAGCAAGAAAATAAAAGGAACTGGAGTAACACCTGCCCTGGCACAGGTCCTAGAGGAAAGCAGGTTTGTGCCACAGAATGATTAATGATGGCCCCTTTATGGATGGGGAAAGGAGGTGGAAGGGGCCACATGTAAAGGACTGTTTTCCCTGTGTAAGACCAGATCCCTTGAGCCCTCTGTGACAGACGTGGTGGGCGCTGGTGTGCGTGTTTGGAGGGGCAGTGTGTCCTGCAGGGCCTTGCCTCCAGCGGGGCAGTTGCTAGGTGTTTCCAAGGAGGATGCGGGAGAGGCACAGTAGTTGCAGAATATCCTCCCAAAAAGTAAAAAAGTCTTTTCCAAACTCCCTCATGCTTAAGATACTAGCCTCACGTTGGTAATGTTTCCCATCTTGGTGCCGTTCACTTATGAGTTACGCTGAGCTGTTGACTGCAAAGAGATCTTTACAAAAGGAGTTCTGGGAGGTGAATATGCCCTTCCATGGGAAAGTACTTAATTAAGTTTGGTACCTTTTAGTTTAGTTAACTGTTGCTATTCTTGGATCCTGAAAGTAAGCTATGAAAATAGATTACTTATGAAAATGTTTCTGTAGCGTTCATTATTTTATCCGTATTTGTTATTTTTATACTTTATTACTTTCTTCTTGCTAAATTAAAGATACCATTTCTTTTAGACTCTCTTTTTACGGAAATTGATCATCAAAGCAGGCAATATTTTGATGCTCAGCTCTGCTGCTAGTGACATAAGCAGCTGAAAATTGGATTTTTCTCTTGGAAAAAGGGGGAAGGATAGATTCTAATAGGATTTTTAGTGCAAAATTGCTCCTCTAATTACAAGGACCCTTAATTTTCTAGGAAAAAATTATTTCAGGTCTTTTGTGTGGGAGAGGAAATTTTGGGCTTCTATAAAAGAAAATACTTATCTGTATTGTTGTTTATTCACAATGGATTTGCTGTTTTGGGACTGTGATTCAGGAGTATTGAATGCAGGGCTTAAACTTCGTGTGCTGTGACGGGCAGTAGCCAGCTGCCAGCTTTGGTATCATTGCAATGGCTTGCTCAGGAGAAAAAGCAGTAGACAGCTGACCTGCATTGAGGCCAAGCCAGGTAACATGCTGCTAGCAAGGTTGTTTCTTCTCCCTTTAGGAAATAGAAGGACTGAAACAAGAAATCGACAATGCTAGAGAGCTCCAGGCACAGAGGGATTCTCTGACCCAGAAGTTACAGGTGAGCTATAGTGCATCATCTTCATTTAGAAAGAAGGGAAAAATTATCATCAGGTGAGCAGTTCACGTCAGCAACTAGTGCTATATTTGCTGAAGGTGCCAGATAAACATGTAAGTTAGACTGCATTGCAAAGTGATGGGTTGGGAAGATCCTTAGGAAACTGCTAATCAAAATTTCCACCTGCTGTAAGTTGCTGGCTTTACCCAAGGGAATAGACCCAAATTTCATTTACAAGTCCACAGAGTACTTTCGGGCTAGGAGATGTCCTTCATCAATACGTGTCCTGGACAGGTGTGGTCTCATTTTCACTGCACTGTCTTGCCATAGATCTTGTGTGTCATTGAAACTGTCAGGCTGTGTAAATCAGGTTGGGATGAGCTTGTATTCAGCTGTTAAACATGCCCTGAGAGAGCAAAGGTTCTTGTGTAGTAGAGACTTTAAAAACACGCTTCGACATTTTCTTGTAATTATTTAGAATCATTGTGTTTCTGTTGTTTTTTCTGGGTTGTTTCTTTACTGTGTATAAAGCTGGATACCTCAGCCTGCCAGAGTGAGTGTGCCCTCAGTGTACCCTCCCCTGCTACGCCTGAGCTCCTGTCTGTCCGTCGCTGGGCTGACTGGCCAGCACAGACTCACCCCCTGTGTGAAACCTGCCTTCTCAGTGAGGCAAACCTAAAGCTTGGGTGGGTTAGACTCTGAATTCAGACTTCAGATTGCTGACAGGACTAGAAACTCAGGCATTAAATAGCTGAAAGGTGACCCTTGCTATTCCGTGGCTCAACCCAAATCACACTGAAGGCAAGCCCCCTCAGGCTAGCCATAGCTTAAAATTCATTAAGCATTCCTGAAAATGCATTACATGAATTGGAAACTCCTTGAATATCATTTTAGCCTACAGAATAAACTACATAAGAACAAAATAAGTTTATTCATTTTTCCCCATTCTTAAGTCAAATTATTTGGAAAAAGTATGTTATTACTTAAAACAATCTTTAAAGATAGTTTTGAATACACCTGAGCTTGCCTGTTCCACTATTCCAAAAATTGTTGCTGGCTTTAGGCTAAAAATGTGAGTTTTCAGCTGAAAAGGAGCTTATCTGAGAGACTCAAAAGGGAGATTGTAATGAAAGTGGAAAATTGTTCTAGCAGTAGCATGTGCAATAATTTCAGTGATCACATGAAAAGTAACGAGCCAGGAATTAGCTATCCTTAGCAAGCAAAATTATGAGAGACTCAGACGAAAGATTAGAAAATGCTAAGATTTTAAAATAAAATTTGTACTTTATAAAGTCAGTACCTTCCTTTTGGTGTATTTGTACCTTTAGTAACCAAATGGATATATTGTGTATACATGTCCATATGTCACGTTGTAGGCAATCAGTTTCTGAAAGTAGTTCTATATGGCTCTATTCAAGTAAATTTAAAGGTCACTTAGGATCTGAGTTAAAATTCACCTTTCTTAAACTTAGAGCTTATTACTGACCTGATGCAGCCCATCTAAAACATCTGGAGTCTTTGCTTTGCTGTAGTCATCCTGCTTTGATTATGCTGGCCTTCTGTGAGCCACTTTACCCTGCATCTGTGAAATCAGTGAAATGGTGTTATCTTCTGTAGCTCCAGACTAACCATCTCACATCTGTTCAGTTAGTGGACTCATCATCTGTTTTCAGGGTGATTGTCTCCAGGGTCCGTATCTGTTCATCTCGCTCTTTTTTCTCCTGCTTTATTTTTTCCCTCTTGTGCTTGCAAACGGATGAAGTAACTCTTAAAATATTTTGGAATATAGTGTGTATCAAAAACACTATACAAAGAAATCACTGTTTCAAGATGTGTTGCATTTCTGACACACTCATATCAGGGAATGACTTAGAAATCCATCACTGGCAAATTCCAGTGAAGAGCAGTATGTTGTCACTGTAAAGGGTAAGTATCGGGGCCCTTGTTACTTAATAATTTCATTAGCAATGTAGAGAAGACATATCAATGACTCATGATCACTATGAGTCTCAGCAAATCAGGATATCTTTATTATTATGACTGACTCCTAAATATAGCTGTTCTGTATGGTTTGACTATTTTATTTGGGTCTTTGCACTGAATTCCACAAAATATTATTACAGTGCAAACAGCAAACATAACTTGTTAATAATTTATTTCTTTTCTAAAAGAAAACAAAGTATGAGAAATTATTGTGTCCGCTGTAAGACGAGCTTGTAAGAACAGTGTAAAGTACACCTATGACACAACTAGGGGAACATACAACATTATATGGACACCTCTCACTTCTTCCGATGAAGAAGCAACAGTTTTGAGGTAGACTGATTTGTAATAGGAAACTGCACATGAGCTAGACATGATCTTGTAATGCAATACTATTGCGAAAGTCATTAATACTAACCTCGGGTAAATATCTGTAAGGATCAAATGAAAAATTTGGGAAGAAGCATTTTCCAGAAATGAAAAGCAACAGCTGCTGGCATATTTCGGTTAGGTCTATTTCCCATACATCATTAAATATGCTAAGCATAAATTTGGGAAAATAAAACAGGAGGAAGTGTGGGAAAAAGTTTACCTGAGGAAGTATTTGGGAAGCTAAATGTATATGGATTAGGAAAGAGAAATCAAGAATGGAATAGAAATAAAACATGCAAGCTGAAAGTCTATACAAAAGAAGAGAGCGCTTCTGATTTGAAGAGATACAGAGCAAGGGCTAGCAACGGAGAGTTAGCCTTTTGCTGAATATGGATGGAATTTCCTACATCTAACATAAAGCTTTCGGTTTTACCTGGGTGCTACTGCCCTAACAGCTCACAGCAGAACAATTCCTCAGTTTAAAAGGGTCTGAGGAAGGCCTGAAAAATGATCTTCAGAGCTAGCGTGGGATGCTCTTCAGACCCAGACATCACAAAATAACACCAGATGTGTATCCATGGATTTGTTCCAAAGTGGTCCCTTTCATCACTGGCTTGGCTGCTTACAGAAAATAATTATCTCTGGGGTAAGAGTAGTGGCAAGGAGACTTCCTAGAGCACACACATTTGGTGAGCAGAAGAGAAGCAGTAACAGGAGAAGCAGGATGTGTGAGCAAATGTGGAAAAACATCAGTCGGTTTTGTGAGAGCTATAGAGGAAGGACTGTGTCGTTCCTGCAGAGCTGAGAGGACCTTGAATTTCCCTTTTTGTCCTGTACTGCCACAGTCGCTTGGCCTGAGAGAGTTTTGAACCTGTGCAGTCACTACACCAGGTAGCACTTGCCAGTACTCGGTTTGGAGGGCAGGAGCAGGGTCTATGAAGGAGAGCCTTCAGGGGCCATGGCTGGGTTATAATCACTTAGCTTGTTCATTTATAGCAGCAGCGGGGTAGCTAATCACTACATAAGCATGTATGTATTTTGATTTATATTGTTTCTACAAATACTCTTTTCAGCTAGCTTCCTTGAGGGCTTTGGCAACTGTTGTTCAGTGTTAAACTAATGAGACAAATTCTTCTCCTGGTCCTGGCAGCAAGGGGTAGTTCCTGCTCTCAGCTGTGCTGTTCCAGACCAGAGCCCAAAACTCTGTAATTTCTAATTTGCCCATTCACAAACAAGAAGTAAGGGAGATGTTGCAGTTCAGCTGGGACGTAAACCTTGGCGGCACAAGCAGCCACAGCTGTGAGGAGAGGCTCTGCCTTCCCCGTCTGCCCCACTGCTGGGGGTCCCGGAGCCATCCCCCACTGCGGAGGCTGGGAGCCGGCACTGAGCACTGGCCACATCATTACCCATCCCTCATCTGGCCAGGGGCGCAGCGGCCGGTCAAGGCTG